TCAATATACTTGTTCAACTTACCTTCGCCTTCCGTGTCTTTCTTTCTGGCCCCTAAACAGGCCACAACAAATATATATATATATATATATATATATATATATATATATATGTATGTATTGAAATGGGCACTATCACTACTAAACCAATTGGGATTTATTCAAATTGTATGTTGATACTAAAATACTATGTAGAACATTACTGCACTTGCTGAACATGAGTGTTGATTTCCTAGTCACTCGTTGAAGAATTAATATGCGAATCTTTATATTTTACTCAAGGGAGATTACTCTTAACCGGAAGTCAAGTTATAGTGCTCGACGATTGTAATCACTATCACTGCTATTTTAAGAAAATCGAAAATTCAGAGGTCTGACAGCTGAAAATTTGTTGTTGTGGTTTTCGCTGTATACTAATTTTGGAAGCTAAGGCGGGGTTGAAAATACATTCTGAATAATGTATACTTCTCAAGTTACGTCCATGAATTGGAACACATTTTAGTTTGTTTTGTTGTCGCTGTTCAGTTTGAAGTCATTACACAGCCATGTTAAAATGTCTTGGCGACAGAATGTTTATTTGCCACCAGAGTTTTTCTGACTACAAACTCATGAATATCTGTCATCCCGTAAATGGTCTCCCTAAGCCATGTGTTTATTCAAAATTATTTATATTTCTCCACTCCAAAAACTCATATTACATAGCAATTTCCACCGAGTTTGACATATTCAAGACGTTTATACTTTTTATCTTTAATTGCTTGATAATGAAAACTAAGCATTAATAACATTTTCCTTAATGTTTCGTTTGCCTATGACTTTCGACTTGCGGGTTCAGTAGCTGCATTAAAAATCGATTAAAATTAAGGGAAAATAAATACTTGTAATAAATAAATAATATGTGACATTCCTTCATCTAATAATAAAATTGAAGATAAGTTAAAAACTAATATCGACAGTGTAAATAAAACTAAAATAAAATGAAAAATACATCGAAAATTAATAATGCCTGACAATGCATCAGTTGATGTTAATGAAAACAAAAATCAAGTTAATATTATTACTGCTAATTATATTGGTGTAAGTAAAAGATCTGAAATTAAGATGAATGAAATACTAGAAGAAAAATTAATGACTTTGTTCCAATTACTAAAATTCAAGGTTATATCATTACTAATACTAGTAGTGTAAATATAGCAAATAATATCAATATGAAAGAAATACAAGTAAAAAATTAATAACAGCTGACACAGATTAATCTAATAATAAAATTCAAGATGAAAGTCCTAAATAAATAATAGGAAACAACTCTTTCTTCTATCTTATCCTGTTTAAAAATTGATGTGGCGTCTCACTTCCACAACGAAGTAAACACATCGCAAGTCCAAACTTGAAGATCTATTGGCAGAAAGAAATCACAATTCGACGTTCAATGTCACAAATCCCAAGACATATAAACTGTCGGGAATGCAACACACCAGCCGACGCACGAGGTAGCCAAATAAACGAATTTGTTTTTCTTCCCATTCGAGTACACCAACTGCTTTTATTGACGGAAAAAAAAATTTTATTAGTCGACAGGTGAGAACGGACACACAATATTAGCTTATCCGAGATACATTTATGGCAACACCTGCGACTGACTTGTTTCTATTTTTGGATATTCCGTCTTCGGCATATCGTGCAGAACACGTGAACATTTTTCTCGGTAAGTAACTTTTTTTTTTTCGCCACATTTTCCGACGTAGAATGCACGCGACGCTTCTTCGTTTGTTTCAACTAGGTGATTCGCCATTTCTTTCGTTACATATTCCCATTCATATTCCAAGTGTAAATAACAGTAGTTAATTAAGACTACAAGTCCTAAATAAATAATGGGAAACAACTCTTTCTTCTATATACAGGGTACTTTCAGGACGTGGGCGATCATGGCAATCCACAACCTCCTGTCATTTGTAGCCCTGACTCAAGTTTGTCATTTTGCTATCTCTCCTAATCCCTCTCCTGACTAGCTCTTTAGGTAGGTACTTTTCCTGTTGTCTTCATTATTCCATGTGAGTATCAAATTTTCGAAGCACTTCTTCCTCATCATGTGTCCTATAAATTTCAACTCTTTGACATGCTAAGTATAAGAGAGAACTCTTTTCTTTTTTTTTTTACTTTCCATCAGCATATGGCTGATGCTAACCTCCAGGAGAGTGACTTATTGCGCCTACTCGGACTAGCGTTTTCCGCTGACATGAAATGGAATGGTTATATTCAATCAGCTTCTAGTCCTGCTGCTTGGTAAGTTGGTCCCCTGTGTCGTGCTAGATAATCTTTCTCGTCAGAATGTATTTTACACATTTATAAGTCTACCTTTCATCCATGCTTTGAACATTGCTACCACATCTGGTCTGATGCCCCTGCTGTATATTTAGTGAATTCTTGATGAAGAATCTATAATTTTATTGGTTCTGACCCTGTATTTCAGTTTCAGCCATTTCTCCACCCCCTTAACGTAGTTAACTCTGTGTCTTTTCTATAAATACTTTCATGGTAATTGTTCGGATGAACCTTCCTCTATGGTACCCAGACCTTATGAATTTAAGCGTAGCACGAGGTTGACGGCAACGTCCCATCATTCTACAGTTCAAATGGCTAGATGTAGCCGTAAGTTCTATGCTAACTGTTTCTTCTCTCTCACTTCTCGCTTGTGGGACTATCTTCTGGCTTCTTGATTTCCAGTCAATTTTGATCTTCAAAAATTTAAATGCAATGTCAATCGTTATCTTTTGTCTTCTTAATTCTTGTTCTTTTATTTTTCCTCTCTCCTTAATAGTGTTTTTTTCTCATATTCTCTAACACTCGGTAATCCCTTGCGTCTTAGTGGGTTTATTGCCTTGCTTGAAGTGAAATTATTAAAAAAAAAATTTTTTATGACAATCGTTAGTTTAAAAAGAAAGTTGATAAAAATGACCATTTAATGCTGAATAAACGCACCCCCCCTCACACACACACTAGTTTTAATGATCAAGATTTTTATTTTGTCAAGACATCCAGTGTTTACTATATTTCGCCGGAAATTTCACACCTCCAGAAAATAAAGAAAAAAATTATATTATTGTTTCTGTTTCTATGATGACTAAAGATTATTTTTCATCCTAATGTTCACTCAGTACAAGTCACAAGAGCCACCCAATATAGAGGTTTACTGTTTGGCATTGTATGAGCCTAAGAAAGGGTAAGTAGTGAAGATGAATGCAGGCTATGCAGGAAAGATAAGGTTTAACCCAAGACTTGAAGTGATCAAGGTTGTTGTGATTTGGAAAACATAATACCGGGAGTTTGTTCTGCAAAGCAGCAGTTCTGATGAAGAAGCTGTTCGAATGGAACATCTTCCTTACTAATGGAATACAAAGGGAATGGGGATGATTCATCCTTGTGTACGTGGCATGATGGGTCCCAGCCGCAAAAGTCAAGGTGAATTGTTTTGACTAACTTAATCATTATTATCTCAAAATCTCACACTCTAAAAATATTTTCTGGCATTAAATAACCTGTAAAGGGTTGAAAAGCCGTAAAAAACGAATGAATGAATCATTCTTCTGTAGTATTACACTGTGCATTTCCTTTTAATCATAACACAAGGCCTATACCAACTAGACCCAAACCAACTATGGTGATATCTGATGGTTCCGGATGTTGTCAAAGATAACTTCAAGAAATACTCCCTTGGAAAGCGATCGAACGAACTATATTCCTTGGTTTCGCCAGGTCTAACCTTTACGGCCAGGGTCAGCCAGGGCCAGCCAGGGCCAGCCAGGGCCGGCCATGACCGGCCATGCCCGGCCATGCCCGGCCATGCCACTTACATTGTAGCAAACCACCCACATTCCCTCCGTATTCCACTGGTGAGAAGTAAGTTCCACTCAAACAGCTTCTTTCTGAGAACCACTGTTCTATGGAACAGACTCCCAAGAGAATGTTTCCCCGATCACTACTTAATCTTAATCTGTTCAATCTAGGATTAACTGTTATCTTCCTCTCCTATATGCATAATTTGCCTCCTAACGTAAGCGTAAGCAAGTGGGCCTCAGGCCTTGTACAGGGTGAAAATGACTGTAAAATAAAAAAATCCTCCATTGAGTAACCATCTGTTGTGTGTTTCATAGCAAAGAGGTTGCTGAACGGACTCTTTTTCTACGCCAGTCGTGATGAGGAGAATATTTGAACAGCCTGAAGAGGCAACGGCACACACCGGACGGATGCTTTCAGAAATCAGTAACAAAAAAAAAAAAAATTTGGTGAGCGGGAATGGGATTAAGCAGAAGTGAAAAATGTTATTGGAGAGGCTAGAATGGGAAACGTTAACAAATCTACCGTAAAAGGCAGGAAAAAAGATATAAAAATAGACAGCAAAATGGATGACTAATACGCAAAAGTAAAATGCAGATGTTTGATTTAAGCGTGGAGTTTAGAAATCTAAGGTAAGTTTTAAAAAAAATGTCTGTATACTCGACAGCTTTAGTAAACATGAAAATGTACTCTTAACTATTAGATTGATTATTTTTTTTACGGCTTATCAAACATTTGCAGGTTAATTAAAAACAAAAAAAATATTTTTAGTTTGTAAGAATCTTTTGGGGATAATAATGATTTACTGATGCAAGTCTTACTAATTAACCCATAGCTTAGGGGGAGAAAAGGCGAATTCATACATTCAGGGTATTTGTACGTAAGAAAATATATATGTTTTAAGGCTTATCAATCTTTTTGCAAGTTATATAAAGCCAGAAAATATTTTAGGTTTTAGGAATGTTTTGGAGGTAATAATGATTTTACTGATACAAGTCCTACTAATTAACCCATAGCTTGGGGGAAAATAGATGATTTCATACCTTTCCCAAGTGTATTTGCGTGTAAGTGAATAAAACTAAACCGCCTGGAAATGGAACTCGGCCATGCGATTCCCATTCACGAGCCGTTATCTATTATCACCCGCCGCACACCCAAGCTTACTGGAACTGGTATTCCCACGCAGTCACTCATCTAGCTACTGACCAGGCTCGACGTTGCTTAATTTTGGTGATCGTACGGGAACTGGTGTTTCAACGTGATATGACCGTAAGCCACTAACTGTTAGAAGACAGAATGTATGATTGAATGCAAAAAAGACAGCTCAAGGTAAGGAGCTACAAAATAGGGACGTCAGAATCAAACACGTACAGAAATATAACTGGTAAGTGTTTTAATAGACGATAGAAAATGTGACCCCGAAATCCGAAGAAGCAAAGGAATAGCTAAAGAAAACTTTTTATTTTCTGGAAGAAGTTTTAATAAAATATCATTCGAAACAGAGAAAAGAGTACAGAACTGTTATGTAATATCTAATCTTCTATATTCCAGTGACTACTGGACAATATCCTTACGGGGAGGAAATTTGAAGAAATAGAAATCTGGGTCTACAGAAGGATGACCTTCCTGCTATTTTATCTAAATGAATTTAAGAGCAGTACTAGACTAGCGGCAAAGTTTCATGATTTTACCGTTGAAATGACTAGATGAAACCGTAAGTTCTATGTTAACAATTTCTTCTATTACACTTCTCGCATATGGCATTCTCTTTCGGCCTCTTGCTTTCCAGTCAACTTTGATCTTCAAAAATTTGAATGCAATGTCAATCGTTATCTTCTGTCTTCTTATTTCTTGATATTTTATTGTCCTCTCTACTTAATAGTAGTTTTGTATTGTTTTCTTTAACATTCAGTAAGTCCTGGTGGCTTTATTGTCTTGCTTAGAGCAACAAGGGACAGGAAGTTGTGGAGAGTCATGATCGTCCACGACCTGTAGGGACATGACACATAAAAGTAAACAGAAGACAAAATTTATGATGTGGGGGTAGCGTAACGATTATCGCCGTGGAAAGCGGAATCAAGTTTATGGTACGTACGTGTTACGAGTAGAAAAGATCCCTGGCATGTATTATATAATGGCCAAGATGAACTGTCTTTACAAGCCTAAAAAGATCATAATGTCCTGTTATATATCCATAGATATAGGTGAGAAATGTTACAAAATGCGTAGGCTGACCCACAGTGACAAACTACTGGTCAGAAGACCCAATCGGTACGTGATTCCAACAGTCACGGATAAACTTCGTTTAATTTTTGATATATGACCAAAAATGAGTGAACACACGGGGATGGCTGCAGTAATTAGAAAAAACAAGGTGTATAGCCGTATCCAGATTTCTTAGTGAGGCAACTCCTTGATATGCGTTATTTCGATTAGTTCACCCCCACCTCGTTCCACCAAGAAATGATGCTACGAGTAGCTGTCCCTCGTAAAAAGTAAAAACAAAAAATAAATTAAAAAAACAAAGATTCAGTGCGTGCTGTAGTGTTAGGAGATGAAGAATTGAAACCAAACGTGATACGAAACTAACAAATGGATTTGTAACTTTCTCAACAGCAGAGTGAAAACTAACTAACTCAGCTGGATTTTGAACCCGATTCGATGATTCTATTCTACGTGCCGTTAACCTTCTTGTGATTAACGAAATACCTTAGTACGTGCAGGCAACGAACTAAAATTGCTTTAGTAAAATGAATCGGACACAGACAAAACAAAGGAGGGGGGCTGTTCAACGTGTCAGTAAGTCAAATTTACACGAAATGATAATCCTTTTCGAAAAGCAAACAATGCCCTTTAAAATATGCGTCTTACACTCTAGAAAAACCACGTGTGCATATATTATAGTGTAAAACTTTAATTAACATACACATTTTCGCATATGTATTATGAAACTGTTGCAAGCCATATCCCATAACTCTACGAATAATATTTAAAAAATTTAAGTTATGTCTGTAAATGTTTGTCATTACACAACAAAAAAAAATATCAAGGCCTGCTATGTTCCAGTTTTGTAGCCATCTTATATTACAGGACTATGTTAAATGTCAATACACACAACTCATTCATACAAAGCATTTTCAGTTGTGAACCGTAAATTAATCTAACATTAAAAACGCAGAAAAGAATTCAGGATTGTTTAATTATGTGTACCTTTCTATATGGCATTAAATGCTAAACGATTTCGTCACAATTAAGACTTGAAGCGACAAAGATGAAAACTGAAAATACTATGGGCAAACCATGTGAGTAACGAGGAATTTAAACCCACCCTTAACTACACCGACTGCAGTTGAAATCATAGTTATAAATTCCATCATTTTCTCCATGGTTGTGTTTTGCCAGGGCTATTAAACCGTTGTGATGCTTGTGGCCGAGTTGTTAGAATGTTCCTACCATGATACACGGGCTCGAATCTCATCATGGTTGATTATTTAGGAAGGAGACTTCTTGATATCTGTTGGAGGCAGTATATTTCGCAAGTGCATGAAAAACGTACCACAGGTTCACCATAGCCATGTGAGTGTTATTACTGTAAGACTTTTCGGAAGACGTCGATGGCGAGCACAAAATCAAAAGCTACCATGACCGAGGTTTTTAAGTTATCGTCCTGGAGAAGAAATCCTATGGTGTGGCACCATTGGAAAGTGCCTGAAAACCATACCACGTTTGGACCTTAACCTTGTGAATGAAATTGGATTTGGTGGAACTGTTTGGAGGCCGTCGATGGTTGCGTTGTCGTGACCGGGGATTTCAGCGAACTAACAATTTTCAAACTGCTGATCACGCCAGATTATGCACACACTCCCAGAAACTGTAACTAATGTCCTCTCAGTATATTTTCCTATAAACGAAGGTGGAGCTCTGTGGGTGTTGAACAAACACAAATGCGCCTGAGAAGGCGCCTTCGATGGGAATATGTTTGAAAAAACGAGCATAGTCGGGTATTACGTGCGTATTATGCGAGTGAATGATAAAATGGAAAAAAAAATATGTAGAGCCGTGTTTTGTTCCGAGAATGAACCTCTTTAGAATAATAACGGTTTTATAGATGGAATCAATCTTAGACAGGAAGCTGGAGAAATGAGTGAAAATATAAAAACCCGGTACACCTGATATCGAAGTGTTAATGACATAGGAACGCTCAACTTTAAATTTTGACGTAGGATGTATCTATCATTAACAGTCACTTAACTTCTAGTTGTCTGAGATTATATATATATATATATATATTTAAAGAAATATAGTCTTAAGGTGTGCTATATTTATGGAATAAAGTGATCAATATCAGAGATAGAGCGTGTGTAAATATAAAAGTGAACATAGAATCGTCAACACTTAGGGCGACAGTCTGTTTCATGCTATATGCAATCGTCAAGCCACCTGTGGCCTGACGATTGCATATATATATATATATATATATATATATATATATATGGAGAGAGAGAGAGGGGGGGTTAACAGCAAAAAATTGCTCAAATATTAGATTAAGCTTTGAACCGTTGTATCATGGAAATGATTAAATATATCTTACCGGAATTCTCCGAGGTTTTATAACACCACTGGACTCTACTTTGAATAATGAGAATGTTTTTAGCTCCAAGTTCAAATGATGATCCCTCTTCTTGTTGTGATCTCCTGATCCAGTTTTCCTTTCTACCGTTCCCTCTTTTTTAAACTTATTTACCGTTCACTTTTTGAATGGACTTTGAAGATAGAAGTGAGTGTGTAAATGTTGGTACCATTACTGAAGAACAAAATTATTTTTTCCTCTCACTATTGCTCAGTTGGGAAGGCATAGTGGGACTGAAAGAAAACGATTTTAACCTGTTCTCTTTCTAGCTGAATAACTCAAATTAGTTTAGTGTTTTTTTTAGATATTAAACATTATGTGGGATGCACAATTATGCTGTTTCTTGATTTGTACACTTGGTATATATATATATATATATATATATATATATATATATATATATATATATATATATATATATATATAGAGGAATCAGGAGAGCCGGGTTCGAAGTCTAGTAGAAACCATTACATTCACTTGCGTGCTAATGCCTCTGGGAAAGGTATGAATGCACTTTCTCTCTCCCCACCCACTAGCTATGGTAAATAGCAGGACAAAAAATCTGAATTCAAAACCTGCGGAGGATTATTTTGGGGCTTTGTTGCACTACGTGCAACAGGTCTCTGTATTCCGCACTACAAAAACTGTGGTTTCTTCTCTCGTGCCAGGGCTCCATGAGTTAAAGTGTGCTATTAAATTGGCATCTAAGTCCCACCCGTTTAATGTTGAATTAGTTAAATATAACTATCATTTCTACTCCAACAGTTTCTTTTCTCGCACTTCCTGCCTGTGGAACTCCCTTCCATTTCCTTGCTTCCCTGATAACGACAGTCTTCAAAAATTTAAATGGAACGTCAATTGCCATCTTCTATCTTCGTGAAACTGCATTCATCTTTTATCCTTTCCCCAGTCACCCTTATACCCAATCTTTTCTCTCACCTACACTCTCTGTCACTTCATGCGTACTAGTGGCATTCCCACCTTGATTGGGACTAAATAATTAAAAAAATAAATTTATTTAGAAATTAATAAATGGAAATTGCTATATATATATATAAGAATATAGCAATTTCGAAATTTAATACCTACAAAAACTTAGATGCAATGGTTTAAATACGACCAGTAGAAGAAGTAGAAAGAGACTGAAGCAGTGACCGTGACGGATTTTGATAATGTTCCTACCCGGTAACAAAGGAAATAGAAAAGCATAGTGTGAAAGACGTATTGACACGGTTACCTAATATTTGCCCAACCAGAACAACGAGCGCTTAAATGACACACATTAACAATTTCCACGAAGGCGATAGTTGGCCTAATGGCAAGAACGAACGACTGACTTATTCTTGAATCCAATCTGTGAAATAGACTTGGTCCATTGAACACTTCAGTATTAACCTCTTCAAGTCAGTGGTTAATCTTCGTATATCCACCTAAGCCTCATATTTTTCACTTCCTACCATCTGTTTTCAGTTATATTACATATCTCAACCATTAGACATCTGCCTTGAGACTTTATCGGGCTTTGTATTTCGTGAATTTCACATACATTCATATGTATTTGCAGTGGCGTAGCTCGGGGGTGGGGGGCAGGGGACGGTCCGCCCCGGGCTGCACGTTTGATCCCCACTCACGGCGGTACTTTT